GTTCAATAGTTTCTACTTCCTGTTTGTTTCAATTTGCATCAAAATGTCTGACAGCGCAGATCAAAAGGTTGCCGACAACCGAAGCTACCAGTGCAACCCCAACAACCCGAAACATCAGGGGCACGAGAAGGGGTACACCGGAACTGACACGAAATCGGACCTGGATAACCATGGCAAACAATTAAACCCAACACTCCTGAACATGGAGGAGGCACGGCAGGAAAAGAGAAGTGATGGTCATCCCTGATTGGTTCGCACAGGAACTGTAGACACTAAGGTGCCTGACAAACTTAGTAATTAGTACGGTTGTCCGCCCAAATCTTCATAGATTTCAAGAAACAAAATAAGTGTAATAATATAACAAAATTACTGTCAGTGTGGTCTTGAAAGTGTTCCAACATTATACGCGACATATCGATAAAAAGGTCGTTTATCATAATGTTGAGAGTGTGGGGCCTAGGATGCTGCCTTGGGGTGTTCCATTCCCAAGTGGACACTGGTCCGACTGTCTTTGGTCGATACCCACGGTTATTATTTGGCCATTTAGTCCTATTTTTTAATTTTTGTATTAGCCCATTAGTGCCAAACCAGGTCAAAAGCTTTGGAGAAGTCTAGGAATATGACTACTGTGTATTGGCGGTCCAGTTGGCCCGTTTTGATATCTTGCTCCAGGCTAGCGAGGTCATCTAAGGTTGAGCGTCAGCGTCCTGGGGTGAAGCCACTCTGGTCCTGGTCTATTATATTGTTTTGATCTAAGTAGTGCTGAAGCCGGTGTTTGACCATTGCCTTCTTAGTTTTAAAGAGATTGGTCTGAATGAGTTGGCCTCGTCAGCCGGTTTTTTGGCTTTGGTATATGGTTCCAGGATGTAGGAACCTGGCCTTTTTGGTAAATGTGATTGTGGAGATTTAATAGGGTTTCCCAAAGTTTTGGCGGGAGCTGCTTAATTATTTGGTATGAAGTGCGGTCAAGCCCCGGGGATGTTCTTTTTTTTCGATGATTTAGATATATTTAAACCATGGCTGCTTTGTCTTTGACCGTGGTCTAACTGAATTGTTTGTTAAAAACCACTTGGCAATGACGGGACTTCTTTTTTTCCCTATCTTTTGTCTTGATGATAGAACAATTTCGTGAAAAACGTTTGTCGCCAGCGGGATTCGCACCCGAGAAGCCATCACTGAAGGCTGACGAAACTTACTCTTAGCATTCTAGTTTTTGTACAGTACTTGTGATTTTGTAGCGTTTTGTTCAACGAAACGAACACATAGAAAAGAAATTACTATTATCTTGATCAGGGCTATATATGCTCTTAATAACCATTTCAATGATTAGACACTGTCCTCGTGGTCTAACCTATACTTAGTACATGGAGCAGTTCCTCCATTTTGGATGGGTGATTTATTTCGAGATGGTCCTCTTTGGGAAATTTGGAGAATTCTTTTTAATTGATTTTGGAATAACCTCGCTGAAGCTGCTATTGCTCCTTACTCGCGCATGTACGTCTCTATATATTGGAAATAATCTTGGAAGCGACGTTAATTCACCTCACAAACTTACCTCACCTCAACTCACCTCACCTCACCTCGACTCAGCTCTCTTCACCTCACCTCGCCTCACCTCAACCCAACCCACCTCACCTCAGCTCGACTCACCTCACTTCACCTCGACTCAACTCTCTTCACCTCACCACCTCGCGTTACATCACCCCACAATATAAGAATGTGGCGTTTTAGTGGCCCGTTCGTGTATAAGGCGCCAGTGTTGCGTCCCCTTGGCGTCCAGTATCGCGTCCTCCAACTTTAAAATGATTATGTGATCACCCACATTACACGCGGGTGCGGGAGGCGACTCAATTCGCCCTGACGGTGGGTTTCAGGCATCCAAGACCAGTATCACTTTCCTCCTACATCAAGCTGACATCACTTGATAAAACTGGAATCATGTTAAAAAACCTCATTCACCAGCTAATACATGATGTGGCTAGGAAGGTGTATCCTTCAATGTTGTATCCATGTGGGGAATCTAACCTGGGATATAGCATAGAGTAGGGGATATAGGAAAGTGTGACTGTGACCAGAGACCATATATCTGTTATATGGTCTCTACTGTGACGTAGAATATCATCATCAACACCTGCCGTGGAGTAGGGGATATAGGAATGTGTGACTGTGACCAGAGACCATATATCTGTTATATGGTCTCTACTGTGACGTAGAATATCATCATCAACACCTGCCGTGGAGAAGGGGAAACAGGAATGTGTGACTGTGACCAGAGACCATATATCTGTTATATTGTCTCTGCTGTGACGTAGAATATCATCATCATCACCTGCCGTAGAGTAGGGGATACAGGAATGTGTGACTGTGACCAGAGACCATATATCTGTTATATGGTCTCTACTGTGACGTAGAATATCATCATCAACACCTGCCGTGGAGTAGGGGATACAGGAATGTGTGACTGTGACCAGAGACCATATATCTGTTATATGGTCTCTACTGTGACGTAGAATATCCTCATCAACACCTGCCATTGAGTAGGGGATACAGGAATGTGTGAGTGTGACGTAGAATATCATTATCAACACCTGCCATTGAGGAGGGGATATAGGAATGTGTGAGTGTGACGTAGAATATCATTATCAACACCTCCTATTGAGTAGGGGAGATAGGAATGTGTGACTGTGGCGTAGAATATCATTACCCACACTTGTTATTGAGGAGGGGATATAGGAATGTGTGAGTGTGACGTAGAATATCATTATCAACACCTGCCATGGAGTAGGGGATATAGGAATGTGTGCGTTTGACGTAGAATATCATTACCAACACCTGCCATGGAGTAGGGGGTATAGGAATGTGTGAGTGTGACGTAGAATATCATTATCAACACCTGCTATTGAGTAGGGGATATAGGAATGTGTGAGTTTGACGTAGAATATCATTACCAACACCTGCCATGGAGTAGGGGGTATAGGAATGTGTGAGTGTGACGTAGAATATCATTATCAACACCTGCCATGGAGTAGGGGATATAGGAATGTGTGAGTGTGACGTAGAATATCATTACCAACACCTGCCATGGAGTAGGGGATATAGGAATGTGTGAGTGTGACGTAGAATATCATTATCAACACCTGCCATGGAGTAGGGGATATAGGAATGTGTGAGTGTGACGTAGAATATCATTACCAACACCTGCCATGGAGTAGGGGATATAGGAATGTGTGAGTGTGACGTAGAATATCATTATCAACACCTGCTATTGCGTAGGGGATATAGGAATGTGTGAGTGTGACGTAGAATATCATTACCAACACCTGCCATGGAGTAGGGGGTATAGGAATGTGTGAGTGTGACGTAGAATATCATTATCAACACCTGCTATTGAGTAGGGGATATAGGAATGTGTGAGTTTGACGTAGAATATCATTACCAACACCTGCCATGGAGTAGGGGGTATAGGAATGTGTGAGTGTGACGTAGAATATCATTATCAACACCTGCCATGGAGTAGGGGATATAGGAATGTGTGAGTGTGACGTAGAATATCATTATCAACACCTGCCATGGAGCCTTCCATATAGACATCTATAGAACGTGTGTACAATACTTCAGCATTACAATGTCCTAACAGCCAACAGATCAAGGTGATCATGGATTCCTGACGCTACTGTGACAGCGTCAGCAGGGCTTTCCGTGTTGCTGTACGCGCACCGAACAATGCAAGCATGCATGACTACAACTGTAACCACGGACGGGGGCCTACACAGCTCGGCCTTTAGAAAATGAAATTGAAATTGAAAGTATATCCATTTACTGAGAATAAACCATGATAGGTGGTCTACTTCCAAGAAATAATCTGATATAAAATATTCTAAAGCCATACGCTCAAAAACGAAGTGTTAATGTATTTAACGCATTCCATACCTGTTTAGATTGTGCGTGTTTTTTTTAAACACATTTTGGATCTAAACACACGAAATGGGCTAAGATGTCACTACATACCAGCATCCCCCCAATCGGAACATGTTGATGATCTAAACGCAAACACGTTACGTCAGTACAATCAGAAGATAAATTAAATTAAACGTTCCAACTCGTCAGACAATTTGAAAACATGTCTACAAAATGCCATATATTAGACATTGATCCAAGCATGTATACAGACAGAAAATGCAGTTGGCAAATACTGTCCATATCAAGAAACAAAAGTGTTCCCATTTTGGGAAAAGACAGTCTGTAAAGATATGATGTTTATTGAAACTTTTTAAAATGACAACACCGAGTTCCTACATGTTCTGCCATGCTCCAAGCTGATTCACACATCTTCGGATTTATCTGGAGGAAATAAAGACATTGATTTATTCATTTATTCGTTCACTGATTTGCCCTATACGTCAAGTGGAATGTCTTTCGGCAGAAAATCTAACATTGCTCTTGCATTGACAGTTTATATATATGTAAGTATGCGTACCTTGTTTTCGTTGTTTAAGCAAATGGGTCCAATTTAGGGTTTACCTAACGTGGCCACTGGCGGTTGTGTGGGTTGAGGTCAGGTTAACCTGTATAGATGATAAAGCCATGTAGCCATGCAGCTACACCGCTGCAAATCCTAAATATTCACGTGTGTATACAAGAAAACCAATATTTACCAATACGATGGCAAAATGACATGGCGTGCTTTAAGGATATAAACTTAGTGTGTTTTGAAATTTGATATAGTCCCATTGTGGAATAGATACCTCTTTATCTCAATTTTGAACTGAGCGCTTTAATGCTGTACACTGTGGAGCACGGAAGTATATAATATATACAATTCTCTTTACGTCTTTGTGTGGAGTGACTGTCAATATTCACGGAAGTTGCGAGAGAGGTCATTTCTTGGAAATCGAACATGCCATCATTTTTATTGTAGGGGTGACAGGTTGTAAAAAAAGGTTTTAAAATGCTAAACGAATATATTTCTACAACAAACTTTTTGAATTAACATTCTAATACACATTCAACATGTGTAAGTGTTATTAGTTAGTTAGCAATTACCCCAAGTAAAAGGAAACCTCTATTTAACCAATCAGAATCAAGCATTCATCAATGTTATGGTAGAATTCATCATTACGATTACTACTATATTAGGGTTACACGGAATTCAGGGACAGACATGCCCATATATGGACACGGCTTGAAACAGGTGAAGGTTATTGTGCTAATTCTTAGAACCGAGTTGGCTGATTATATATAAGGTGTTCGTGGGGCGTTTTCAGACACACACTGTGAATCGCTTTGTGGATCTCTTGCACAACACACAACTGTATCTATACCTGCGACACACGACAACTCTCCAAACAGGTAACATAGGACCTGAATACCGCAATGTAGGTTTGGGGTTATCCTAGCATAGAACAGTACAAGTGCAATATTCGTGAAGGCGGCGTTGAACCCCATTTCACCTCATAATTGTAACGGTTACCTGAACATGATTTCTATTACGTGGGTACGCTAATCTTTGGGGTAGTTCTATTCTGTAGTCTGTGTATTGCTGTTTACAAACTGAAAAAAGTTGGATGATTGATGTTGAATAATTAATAGCATTTCACCTTGTGTCATTTTATATTATCGATAACAGTTTAAATCACAGCATTATAGATCAGTTTTGATGGGAAAACTTTGTCTTCTTTAGAAATAAGTAATATTAAGATATTTTGGTCTTTAGTCTCAGAAAGGACTTGTGCCCCTTTTAATCGGTTAATCAGTGGATTAAACATTTCGAGTCAGTGTTTCCGGGTAGCCGAGAAAGTGCAGATTATTTTTAGGTTAATCAATTTGTAGATGACTTTGTCAACTCCATTGGTGATGAGTTGATAGATAATACAGTTGTTCCCGAAATTGAGCTAGACACTGTTATTAATCTAGAGGAACTGGTACAAGCTCGTGGAGACATGAAGTGTGGTAAAGCTCCTGGTTATAGTGGGGTACCTGTGGATTTTTTTAGGAATGCTCCTCCTAAATGTCTGGACATGTTATTACAATTATTTAATGCAGTATTCATAAGTGGCTCTTATCCAGATCAATGGTGTTATGGCGTTATACTTCCTATCTTTAAGAAAGGTAATCCAAATGATCCCTCTAACTATATACCTATTACACTTTTAGAAGTAGCAGGCAAATATTTTGCAAAAAATGTTTGAAGCAGACTAACAAAGTGGTCTGCTCTTAAACATTTTATTACTAACGAGCAAGCGGGTTTTAGACAGGGATTCCAAACTTCCGACAATATGTTTATTGTTAATAATTTATTAGATAAATATCTGTCTCCAAATTGTGGCAGGACGTATGGGCCTTCACAGATTTAAAAGGAGCGTTCGACTCTGTGTATAGGAATGGCTTACTCTATAATTTGTGGAAAGGAGGTATTAATGGATTAATTAGATTAATTCGTAATATATATAGATCTGTAAAGTCCTGAATTTCTCTAGATGGTGGATATACACAGTTCTTTGAGTGCTACTCTGGTGTTAAACAGGGATGCCCACTGTCGCCATTTTTGTTTTCATGCTTCATCAATGATATTGTGGAATTTTTCAATTGTGAGGGAGCTCATGGTGTAACTTTAAGTCCCTTGGAATTATTTATTCTGTTGTTTTCAGATGACATAATCTTGTTAGATGTAACAGCTAATGGCCTACAAAAACATTTTGACCAATTTTCAATTGGGACAAATGGAAATTGACTATTAACATTCAAATAAGCAAAGTGATTGTATTCCAGGATGGAGGCAAACTTAGATATTATGAAAAGTTTAGGATTGGAGATTCTGTCATTGACAATTTGACATAGTCCCTAGTTATAAATATCTAGGTGGGCAGTTATCGTCCTCTGTTTCTTGGTACCTTGCTCAAAAGACTTTGGCACAACAGGCATGGACAGTAGTTAGAATATTACAATCAACACTGGGAAAATTCTCAACAGTCCCAGCTAGTGTCTGTTTTCATATTTTTGATTTAAAAGTACTGCCAATTTCAAATTATTGAGCAGAGGTTCGGTGATTTCATCCTTCACCCGATATTGAAAATGTACACGATCGTTTCTGTAAACTTGTTCAGAGCTTGAATAGAAACACTCCCAACATAATTGCAAGAGGTATTGTGAATCAAGGTTTTGCATTATATATAAAAAAATATAAAATTCTGATTCAGGTTATTGTCACAACAGGTTAATGTTATCATGAAAGGTTCTTATGATTTTCAGTATGGAAGGGCAGAAAATGAGAAAGCTTGTTGGGCGACTAATGTTAAATCTTTGCTATATACATAGTTTGGTTTGGTTACAGCAATGTGTTGGAAATATAAATGCATTTATACAGTGTTTTAAGCAAAGATGTAAAGATATCTGCCAACAAATATGGAATAATAATCTAGAATGCTATTTTAAGCCGGAATATCTTTGCTCTGTCAAGGGAAATTGTAATTATGGACATCTGACCAATTGTATTGGTATAGCCATCTATCAAACAACACTTGTTAGATTTAGCTCTCTTAATCATAATCTATTAGAAGAGGCAGGCAGGCATTATACAATACCAAGACTAAAACGTCTTTGTCCCTTTTGTATTGTGCCATATATAGAAACTGAATTCCACATTTGTCTAGAGTGTCCATTCTACTCGAATTTGGGGGATCAGATACTTCCTAAATATTATTGTCAAACTCTGGATAAACTAAAACAATTATATAGCTGCAACCTCTATGTTATGAGAAGATTTGCAAAGTATGTATTTCTCGCTCTCAAGAAAAGGAACACTCTTCTTAAAGATGTGCCTGTTATGTAGTACTATGCCATTGTAACAATGTGAGACTCGTTGTTGCCAGTGTGTGTAGCACGTGTTGGGACCCGATACACGGGGCGTTTGTGGGTTGTGATCGGCCTCAGTAACCTTTTGTGCATCCTTCTCAGCACCCCGATGAAATTTGACCACTTGTTCGTGGCTTGAGGGCGATTTGTGAATCGATTCCCTGATGTAATAGTCAGCGCTCTCTGTACATGTGAACTGATCAATCCAGTGTAGCTTTTATGATGGGCCGGTGGTCCTTTTACGGAATAAACTCACTCACTCGCTGACTTGGTTCATGCATGTCATCATATTGACATCAATTGCGTGGATCGATGCTCATGATGTCCATCTCTGGATTGTCTGGTCCAGACTCGATTATTGACAGACCGCCGTCATATAGCTGGAATATTGCTGAGAGCAGCGTTAAACAACAAACAAACAATTATTCGTCAGTAGTAATTTGAGGCAGTAATTTCTCTATTAGCCCAGTATAAACAAATGTTTTGTCTCTCTTAAATGTTCCAAAGTGACTAGCTGGGAAGGGAGGGCTTTATTATTATATTTTATTTCTTCGGTTTGTTGCAAAGCTTGATTCTAATAACCTTTTCTGGCCATATCACCCTGCGAATCGGACACAGTATAAATAACATGTCAGGAACAGATTAAATTGCCGTGCGAAATCGAAATTTAATTTGAAAGCGCAATTTCTTTAAAGTGCTCAAAATATAAATAAGAATAAAAAATGTAAAGGACAGGTGGTCATGAGAAACAAGACATTTATGTTAGCAAGCCTTATTAACATCTGCAGTGAGTCCCTGTGTAAATTAGTAACGATAAAATATATTTTTACAGAAAAAAAATGTCCGACAAAGGTGGTCAAAAAGGTTACTCCGGGACTGGCACAAAAGCTGACCTTGGCAACCACTCCAATCAGATGAACCCCAACAACCCCGTGTTTGGAGGGGGTTCCAGTCAGTACGGTGGGACTGGCACAAAAGCTGACCTTGGCAACCACTCCAATCAGATGAACCCCAACAACCGCGAGTTTGGAGGGGGCAAGCCTGGAGGCAAGAAGTGATGACGTGTCACCTGATGATTGGCTTGCACAGACAATATAGACACATCACGTGACATTGTGTCAGTAAGGATACTTCTGTGCCATGATTGTCCAGTCAAATACTTAGCAGATAAAATTGTATACGTAAAATAAATACGTTATAACTACCTACAGTGTTGTGTTAATGTATGAGTTCCTTGACTGGTCTACTTAGCGAGACCTGGCTCCGGAAGATGATCCTGTTGAGAAGGTCTATATATGCTGTTATATGGCAGTGTATTCTATTGTTTAACAGTGATTGTAATGGTATTACATTGTTTCTGTTGAGATTCGGTAGACGCTCATGGCATTGTATTTGGGCAATGATTAGTCGTCAGGGACTGAGTGCCATTTAATCCAAGCAGTCGCCAGGAAGTTACTATATTTAGATACTTGTGTGGTGTGTAAACTACCCGACCGCCCCCACGCAACTTGGAACAGATTGCAACAGATTTATTTCAGCACTATGCATTTCTACAAGGTCCCCAAAACACCATACTAAAAATTCCAAGCAATCCAAGTTAGGGAAATATGTCTAATTTGCATAATACAATATGACCACTAATTATCAATATATCTTCCATATTTCAGATGAAGGTCAATGTTTTGATGAAAAAGCATGTGTTGTATTGCGAAATAGCCATATTATGTTTCTAAAAAGATATTCACATCTATTGAACTTTTTCGACTATTGATAAATCTGCAAAAATTCAAGATGGCCTCCAATTTCAAGATGGCCGACAAGTTTTCTAAATGTGTGTTTACACTTTCAAATGTTTTTAGTTTAAAACAGTGTGCTGGGACCAATATGGATATAAATTGGCACGCTAACTCACGCATATATAGTTAACACATTTAGATAGAAACTCCGTCACCAGAGCCCCCTGGTGGCCCAAAATTCCAAGATGGCCACCAAGAGATTGATAACTAGATATAGGTTATCAATACGCTATAGGTCTCTGATGACATATTTGAGTGATTTGAACTTCTACATTGGGGTAAACATACCCAATGATGTATGTAGAATACTCAATCATTTGTATAAATCCAATATAACCACCAAATATCAATATTTATCTCTTAAATGGCGTGTTTTGGCGAGTTTAAAGTTCAATGTTGATTGTTATTGTCCTAATCAACTTATTGACATGACAATAAATGCTATAACAAGTTTCGTTTTCATTCATGTAAATACTTGTTGGAAATAAGTATGACCTACATGAGGTCCTCTCAGAATAACACTTGATATTTCTCTACAGTGAACATAACACTTGGACGGAATTTTTGTCATACAAGAGTTACTTCCCCTTTAATTCACTCCCTTTATCGTAAGTGTCAAGCCCGTACACAAACTGTTGACGTCCTTTTTACGTTAGTTCCACATTGACAAGGCAAGATAATGACGCATGGTCATTCATGGAGTTAATATGACTTCTTGCCGTTTATTCTTCTCTCATTGAACTCGTCAATCGAAACTGTGAGTTTCGCAAAGCGCCATTTTTTGTTACTTGACGACGTGTATTCTTTCGCTTCTCTCAGCGGTCTTCTAGTTTTCAAGAATATTTTTTGTTGAAGTTGATTTTGTATTGAATGATATCGAAATATATGAGAAAGAATTATTGTGACCCTTAATGGTTTTTTCTTTTCTTTTGTTTATATTTTTAAGATTTTGCAAACACGAGCCTACTTTTTAAGTCGCAAATACAAGGGGTGGTGAACCGTCCCTGTGTGTTAGGTAGGGAGAATTTACGTTTCAAGGTTTTACATTTGAAATGAAATAGAGTAATTTTCCGGTAGACAACTACACAAAAAGTATATTACAAATAGGATCCAGTATGTATTGGTCAAAATATGGTGCTTAGATTCTCACTTGGCGTCTGGTATTACGAAGGGGACTTGAGTGTCGGATCTTCAAAGTGAGTGAGTAAGTGTATGGTTTAACGCCACTTTTAGCAATATTCCAGCAACATCACGGCGGGGGACACCAGAAATAGGCTTCACACATTGTAACCCAAGTCGGGAATAGAACCCGGGTCTTCGGCGTTACGAGCGAACGGATCTTCAAGGGCACTGCGCAGAGATACGTTCCAAGGTCGGACTGGGGATGTCATGATGTATGAACACCTACTTGAGTGTTCAGCAAAGTGTACTTGTGGGTACCCCTTAATATCATCATCTAGTCATCCCTGATAACTAGAACTGTTTTACTATGATACAAAAGTTGGTGGCGAATACCGGCAAAACAAAACATCCACCTCGTGGACACCGGGTGGTTTACATGGTGTACGTACGTTCGATTATTTAGGTTTGAGTAACTGATGTTACCACATTTCTGGCAACAAGATTCAACCTTGGTGAACCAGTGTTTACAAATGATGCCTGTCAGGATGTTTTGGATAAAATTGATTCCTATAACAACCTTGGTGTTATCTTTCAAAAAAATTAAAAATTCACGTTAACAAAAAAAAAAGCTAACAACAAGCAACGAAAGCTATGTTCTATGTTTTAAGCCAAGGACGGAAGTTAAATATGTCACTTAAATGTCAACTGCGGCTTTTTGACAGTATGGTTGTACCAGTCCCTCTATGGATGCGAAGTATGGGGATTTGAAAACATCTCAGCTCTAGAAAGTTTACATTTGCGTTTCCTAAAATATCTTTTATCATTAAGAAACTGTACTCCAAATTTCATGGTACATGGGGGAACTTGGAAGACTCCATCTATCAAACATCGTCAAAATGAAAATGATAAGTTTTGGGGCAACAGTACATTCCGGGAAATCCTCTAAATTATCTCAAATGTAAACATAAATGGATTATATATATCAAACGAACTTTTGATGAACTTGGACCTAGCTCCATTTGGTTTTCACAAAGTTTAAAAAATGCCACATACATACATACATAAAACATCTATTCCATGAAAAATTAAATGACATTAACCTACAGTGTTGGACCAGTACAAGTGATAAGTCTTTAAAAGGCACAATGTATAGTATCATCAAAAATGATTGCCTTAATTTTGAATATTATTCAAACGCACTGCAGGAAACACTTGGCAAGTCTTACTTAAGTTTAACTTGTAATCATAATCTACCTATTGAAACTGGGAGATGGAGAAAGGAAATGCCAACTTTGCAAATTGTCTGACATAGATGATGAATTCCATTATTTATTTGTCCATCTTTAGAAAACGAAAGAAAACATTTTTTACACAGATTCTACTACATTAAACCCAATATGCATAAAATGAATTTACTTTTCAATAATTCACGACGAGGAACATTGAGAAAAATGTCCAAATTCTGTTAAATCATCATGTCTTTGTTAAAACCTATCAAGTAACTCTCCCTCTTAATGAATTGCACATATATTGCTACCCTAGTAAATCTGTATAAATATGCATGCATGCTCGGCCAAGATGTTTTTGAATCAATTCTATATGTATATGTATATGTATATGTATTATGTTGTTGAAATAATTTGGTACCTCTGATTCCGCTGATAGCGGCCTGAGTGTAAATAAAGTTCAGATCAGTTCTTAGGGCAGTACTCGAAATATAACGCATCAAATGCAACCTTAGATATAACAAAAGCATGACTCTGAGGAGGAGACACAACTTTGAGAGTTTACCAAGTTGTTCATTGCTTGTACCTCATCTATTCAATGCATGTAAAACGACAATAGCGAGTAGACCATCAAACAGAGATGCAAGATCATCGTCAAAGTTGCATTGTTCATTTTAAAGTAACTTCTATAAACAATCGATACGCATATTGGATCACATTTATACTATCAATAACTTGCCAATTATATTCTTAAAACTGTTTTCATGTATGATTGAACCAACAAATGAAAGTGAGTATAGCTTCAGGGGTCAAATAGGTTCGGGCAACATAGGACAGTCGAAGTATGAAGCAAATCAGGTAACATTGGTCAACAAAAGTTAACTTGGGTTATACCTCGGGCAGAACGGATTCACCCGGGTCGTCCAGGCTTTTGAAATGGAAAGCTGTCATACTTTAATTAATTTTTAGTGTTCTTGTGATAAAACAAATACCCGATGTCCCTATGCTTGTCGTAAGGGGCGACCAACGGGATCGGGTGGTCAGGATCGCTGACTTGGATGAAGCATGTCATCGTATCCCAAATGAGTAGATCGATGCCCATGATGCCAATCACTGGATTGTCTGGTCCAGACTCGATTATTTACAGACCGCCGTCATATAGCTGGAATAGTGCTGAGTGTGGCGTTAAACAATAACCAACCAACCAGCTAGATGTCCCCACCGATAATGATTTTTTTAATACGCATATCTCGAATAGATTCTCAACTCGAACTAACTGAATGTTGCATTGTGGATGATGGATATGCTAAGGTAGCTGTTATGGCAGTCGTGTACAGACCTGACACATTAACACACCCCGATCTTAAAAAAAACAAGGTAATGTGTATTCCTATCTCAAATCCAGTGTATTGCATCTTGTTCAGTAACCATTCAGTCGTCCGTCTCTGCTTGGTGTGATTGTGCCAGTAGTGTTGTACAGTACAAATACAGTGAGTGAGTGAGTGAGTACGGTTTTACGCCGCTTTTAGCAATATTCCAGCAATATCACGGCGGGGGACACCAGAAATGGGCTTCACACATTGTACCCATGTCGGGAATCGAACCCAGGTCTTCGGCGTGACGACAAATACAGTAACTAGGTAACAATGCATGATCGATCAACAGCTGCACAGGGTAGGGAGTGGCTTTACAGGAATATGTCGGGTTTTCCAGCAATGTGGGTTTTTTCCATGAACCGAACCATCGTATTTGAACATGAAACACATCAATAAGCTGATTAAAGTTTCGATTCGTGACGTACACGGATTTAAAGACGGATTGGCCTATGATGATATTTTCGGACCTGGCTGGCCTTTTATGGAAATTGAAAAACGCGTGATCGGAGACAGACTAGGTCACGTGATTGGTCGATGATATATAAAGTGTCCTCGCGACACGCACATACCCGTGTGCGAAATATGCTACGGTCGGAAAGCGCACGTTAAATCTCCTATATCAGTCAGTCAGTCAGACGCACATACGCACATGTCGGAAAGCGCACGTTAAATTTCCAATGCCCG